TCTTTTATTCGTTGTCTTTTATCCGGGCTCGCTAATTTAGTGTATATCAAAACACTTCATTCTGTCAGATTCAAAGCTGAATGCAGAAGGAAAGCTAAATTTATGGAGCTTTAAAAGTTCCGAAGAGAAAGAGACCATTTCATGAGAGTGGATAACACACAGTTTTAAACACACAACTTTTGCTAACGAGCTATTCACATCACAGACAAGCAGTCTGTTGATTACATCTACTTAAACGTGCTTTCCAAAACTCCTTCAGCGTTATCATGAACTGTAGTTTAGTTTATCGAAATCAGCGTTTGAAAATGTTGAGAGTCAAAACAGCGTTTAACTTAAACATTTTCATTTCTCATTTAATCTTATGATAGCGTCGAGCAAGTTGAAGCCTAAAATTTCGAAAAAACAACTTAAAAACAAAGTGATATCTAAATACGTTCTATTCTAGCTCTTTGGCGGATTTTAGGTTAATAAAGAATATATAATAATCACCGTAACTTGCTTTAATAAAATAATTTTTACTGTACAGTCTGAATTTGCCTCTGGTCAATGGATTTCAATTAATCTTGAAAGTTACAGTAACTTCAACTGACAATAACGAGACGCGCCCTATGCTTAGTGAACTCGGACTGTGAATCTGAAGGTTTTTGGTTTGCGCCCCGTTACTACAAAATCGCGCTCCGCACTTTGGAGCCGTGGGTGCTCTATAAGAGCGACAGTGAAATCCCAGTATTAGGCCATACAAATTGAGAGTATCCCAAGAGTTGGCGGTGGATACTGTTGACTAGTTACCTTTCCTTTAGTGTACAAGCTCGAATTTAGGAGCGGCTATTCGCAGATACCTTTTGTGTATCATGGCCTGATGGTTAGGGCTCTTGAGTTCAATCTCCGGGTCGTGGGTTCGAATTCCGTGAATGAACATACTCGCTATTCCAGCCGTAAGGGCGTTATAATGTAACGGCCAGTTCAACTGTTTCGTTGTTAAAGGGTAGCCCAAGAGTTGGCGGATGGTATTTTGTCTGTCACTTCTAGATTATGGATGAATAACAGAGATAACCCTCGAGTAGCTTTGTGTGAAATTCAACAAAACAAACAAACCGTAGGTTAGAAGAAATACATTGCAGTCTACCTCAAATAAAAAACACAAGGAATTCGTTATTGGTGGGAAAAAAGCGCCAATAGATTAAAAAAGAATTTCTTTTTTTGTTACCCTATAATAAAAACCAAATAAAGGAATATAAAAGTAATGATAGAAGGAAGAAGGGAAAAACAATATGGATGTGAAAAACGAAAGACATTAGTTACTGGAAGCAGTTTATTGTTTATATAGCACAAAATAAGGCAATTTTCATTATTATGAAAATAAAACCTAAAATTATTACTGATAAAAGAAAAGAGACTCCCACAAATGATAGAAAATAGAATGTCCATAATTTATAGCAAAATAAAATATGTTTAATTGAGAGAATAAGAAAATTCTCATTAATGGTTGAACAAAATATTTTGATTACTTAGAAATGAGGATCAACAAAAACTTTGGTTACTGACAGAATAAGAAAATTCTAGATTATTGATAGAACAATAGCTTTATTACTAGTAGAACATGAACATTTTTTTTTTCATGACTGATTTAGCAGAAAAATGTTTGTCATGGGTAAGACGCGAAAGCGTTTATAACTGATAGAAAAGGGAAATTTTATTTCCAGTAAAAAAAGTTGCTGGTTGAAGAATAAAATGTCCATTACTAGTAGAATAAGAAAATGTTGGCTGGCTCTTAGAGGAAGGAAATAATCATAACTGGTAGAACAAGAAAAATATATATTTGTCTTTAGAGCATGGAAATAATAATAACTGTTAGAACAAAAATATATGTTAGTTGACATAAGAGCAAAGAAATATTCGTTACTGGTACAAGAAGAAAATGCTGGTTAATCCTTAGAGTAAGGAAATATCTATAACTGGTAGAAGAAGAAAAATGTTTGGAGGTCGTAGAACATGAAATTGTTTAGTACGAGTAAGAAATAAATTAATTTTCGGCTGAAAAAAAATCGAATTACTGACAGGATAATAAAGTGATATTTAGTAGAAGGAGAAAGTATTTATAGTTCGTCGAACATGATTTAAAGTCTATCTATGGAAGAGCAGGTAAGTAATTAAACTTACATTTGTTTAGTTTTTTTTTTTAAATACTCGAACCAGAATTGTATTGCTTTGTAAGTTACACCTGACTCATATTTTAGGAAATCTTATATAGCTTGTTTTCTGTCGTGTATGGATCATTGGCAAAGCATTTATAATATGGAGGATGAGTACATATATTAAAACGATCTTCGAGCCTCACGACATCATTACAGTCCATATTTCCATGCCCGGTTATGTGTAGTTTCCACAGTAAAAGGTTCCGTCATAAGGCTTCATGTCTAAGACACACCACTCCTCCCTGGCGGCTTTCCATAATCCATCTAGTATACCAAGACGATGGTTTCCCAGCGCTCTTTTCAACAGTCCATGCCCCCCAGTGGCACAGCGGTATGTCTGCGGACTTACAACGCTAGAAACTGGGTTTCGATACCCGTGGTGGGCAGAGCACAGATAGCCCTTGTGTAGCTTTGTGCATAATTAAAAAACAAACAAACAAACAATCAACAGTCCGATGCGCAGAAATCCATGGAATAGCATGGACACACGTTTCGTTTTCATCAGCTTGAAGTATACGACTTTGAACGGACATGTTATGAAAGCAACTTGTGAAGGCGTACCTTTTGTCTCTTTTCCAGACGGAGGTCATTATTGATTATGCTCTGTACTGTTGCCTGACGGATGTGGACGGCTTTTGCCCCTGATCTTTGTGGCCGTGGATTCTCACCTGTTACAAGACGTTACACTATGCTTGCGCTGGGACAAGACTTGTCGAAAGTCTCTTTCTAGAGAGTCTTGGTGCTCAAAGTTTATTCATATTCCTCTGTTTTTTTACGGTCTTGGAAATTGTAAATCCTCGATCTGAACACATTTTTATGATCTTAGTGTATAAATATTTTACGTCTGAAAGGGCTATTACGTACCCTTCTAATAACGATCAATTTTAGTGACAAACACACTAACTACGTAATCCTAAACAATATCAAAAATGTAGTTCTGATAGAATCCGTTACACCGCAACATTATATCTGCTGTGTTTCATAACGTACCCAACCCTCTGTATAATTATATTGATATTGGTAACTTTATTTTACAACAGTATTTCCATCTTTAAAATATAACAGACGCAACAGTCATGATTAGTTAATGTTAATTTAATGATGTCAGCTGGTAAACAACGTTTCATAATTCCGTTGCGAAGTTAGACTGTGAAATGACTATGGAAATTATTTTCAAACCTAATGATTACATTAAGTAGGAATAGGAAACTATCAACTGGAAAATCTGTTGGAAGAAATAATAAAAGGCTATTCTGAACTCCAATCAGGATTACATCAAATGAATAACCAAGTGATCTGTTTAAAAACAACAATGTAACATTTTCTTTGCTTTGACTTTTGTAAGATGACTGGTTCGAAAGAACTGAGTGTTCGTGTAATTAAAGTAAGAATTTTGAAAATAATTTTCTAACACATTCATATTTGGAATTCAGCAATTTATATTCTTAAAATAAACTTACATTTTATTGACTAATAATAATAAGAATTTAATCTAATTCTACAAAACGATCGTTCGCAAGCACGGGATAAAAATGCGATATCGTTAAAAAGTAAATTTCATGTGTGAAAACAACATTTTAAAGTTTCGAGATATCATGCTTATGTATCACTCTCTCCTGTCAGTAAAAAAACGTTGGCTTTTTGCAACACAGCAAAGCGTGACAATCTAGTAACAACGCTAGTGCCCTCCAGTAACAGTGCCAAGTTCCGGAAAAGAAAAGCTTGACGTAGTGTAAATATATGTAACTTAACACCTCTATATAAAAGATAAAAATGCTGTCTAAAGTATTAAACTTTACGGATGGTTGGCTTCCATGGTCAATCTTCTAAACATTCGATTTTTCTAAGGTTTTGGGTTTATATGTTTCGGCTACAAACTTGCTGGCAACGCTCGGGTACCGCCCTACTAATCTGCTAATAATTTACTACCACGTGTTGCCTTATTTTATCATTATCATATAAACTAGGTCTGTTCTACAACACGTCCTACTGAAGAAAGCGTATATATACACTGAATATACTGTACAGAGTTAAAAATCCCTTGGGGAAGCCACTCCTCGTTTCGTTAAAACATGAAAGGAAATACTCTCCAAACTTCTTCGCTTTTTTTGGCTCCAAAGATAACCTCCGAAGTATAAATAAAAATGAGAGTGTTCAAACGAATAGCTGAACCTAATTAACGGGAAGCATACTTCGATTTAAGTAATGTAATGATATCTTAAAAGGCTTCATATTTTGGTGAAATGAATTCGCTTGAATGTGTGTCTACACTAACAGATCTAATATATCGCGAAAAAGTCATCCGGTTAAAAACGTTTTTTATGGTCTGTGTATGTACGAGGTTGGCGATGTTATTGTAAAGATTTACTGGTTAAAGGTTTTAAAAACAGAAGGCTGTGAAAGAATGTTGAGATTATTTTTAAATTGTCACTCTCCAATCCCGAATGTGGAAATAGTTTTGTTAAAATAAATATTGACGTCTGCAATCTTCGAAACACACAGAGGTCAGAATGACAATTCGAACTATATACGTGATAATCTCCGGCTAGTGAAGATATCATGCAGAAAATAAAGTACCTAAACACATATAATAAAACTAACACATGTGTCCGCCATATGGTTTATTCTTGAGAGGCTTAAAATATTTTGATTATGTTTGTATCGATTTCGTCTTTTCTTAAGCAATAACAAAATAAAGTCTGTGGTTATACGAAACACAGTGTAGGTATCTTAATTCCCGCCATATATTTTTGCCTGAAGAGGGCGCCGTACAGTTTAAGCACATTGGAACTGTTGAGTATGGCTGGAGTAGTGTCTATTGTGTCATGACTTCGATCCAGCAGAGTACAGGGGGCTTAGCCCGGGAGAATGTTGCCTTTCCTACGTAGCCAAAGTAACGTGAACAGAAGGCAATATTATACATTATCCAGGATTTGCTACAAGACTCCAGAAATCTTTCTATACTTCAGTACTGGTGAGTTCCTGAAGAATATGTAAATTTAACTTGTCGAGAACATAGCTAGGTATTGTAAGATAAAACCATTTTGTTCCGGGAATATTCGACACAGTAAGTTCACATTTGAAGTTTTTGATGTTGCGAAAGAAACGCCAAGACGGAACATATACATCTTATTAGTGTCTACTTTTGAACACTTGGTTGAAGAATATTTAGAGTAATATTAGACTTACAATTTGTAGGTTATTGGTAAAGAAAGTTTGAACAAGCAACAAGTTATATAGAGGATTGCTCAATATCCACGAAGTGTGATTCTTCGGTCCTCTGTTTCCCTTTTATTTCAGTCAATAAAGAAGGGCATACCGTAACACTAAAAAAATCTCTGCTTTGCAATGTTACCTAGCAGAAGACTGAAACCTAAGCCTAAAATAAATGTCGAATTATTATAAGTTCATTATTCTCTTTTTCTTATTTTATTTATATATTTTAAACATTCTAGGTGGTTCGTGAGATAAAAAATAATTAATGTCTGTCTGCGTAAGCAATACAAATATATTTCAAAAATACGTTTTAGCATCTTACATTTTATGATGCATCATTGCCCTAGCTGCCTGAGGCTACTCTCAGATGTTAAATTACAATATTTAAATTATAGATTATAGCGTAAGTTCAGCAGTAGCTTAAAGAGTCTCTGGCGCTATCTATATCTTATAAGGGACGAGGTTACCATGCTTTGGTAAGTTTTAGCGTCGGAACAAGGCGCTAAGATAACTGTAGAGAAAAGTTAATACTACTGTCAACTTTGCTGCTATATATGTATACCTCACTGGTTGATTTATACTGGAAAGTTCGATTATCGTTTTTCTGCCATTAACACTAAATATTTATCATCAGAAAATAGGCTATAAGCAGGGTGTTTAGCAAAATTTATGTTGCACTATTAATAACAAGATTTAAGTTAAATATTGCCAAACTTTGTTAACTTATGAACTTAGGTTTATTTATTGAATCAATTCTGCACATTTCGAGAACGTAGATTTTATATTCTATGATATTTAAATAATATTATAATATCATGACTGAAACACTAAGTTGTTTTACTAAATTTATAGGTTATCAATTTATCATGTAAAAATTATCACTATTACGTGACATTGATATAAATCTGGATTATGCTCTAATCTTGGTGATTTTGTACTCCTTCGTTCTAAAATTTCTGAGCATAAATGTTTATTCGCAGATCAATCGGTTATCTAGTTTATTAAAATGTTTAATCGTAAATTAACTGGTTAGTTAGTTTCTTAGAATGTTTACTCGCAAATAAACCAGTTATCTAGTTTAATAGAAAGAGAGGATTAACTTCAAACTCGACATATTTTTACAAGATTACATACGTAAACTTCGTACTGCACTTTGATTTAACACCAACACAATTTGTCAGGCTGTACGTATTATTTCATAACGTTAACAGCATTTTTTTTTCGTAATTGATGTTATCATATTAACAATTGTTTCTTGCATAACCGTAATGCCATTCGTAACTGTAATATCATTATGATAGCTGTTGGTTAGTCTGTACTTTTAATGTTATTAAGCTAGCAATTGTTTAGTCTATAACAATAATATATAATAATAATATATATAATAATATATAACAGTTTTGTTAACAGTTCCTTATTGAGTAATTTTAACGTCGTGTCGTTCGTTGTCCTGGATAACAGTCAAATAACTAACTAACTAGTTACTATTAATATTTCCTTTTTTTAATTATAGATAGAAATTACTAATTTGTTTTTATTCTACATTTCGGCTGCTGCCCCCTTGTTAGTTCAGCATTAAGATTGAGTGCTTATAACGCTAAAAAATATTATTTTAATTGTCTCGGAGGGCACAACACAGATAGCTCAGCCCCATTATGTGGAATATTTGGACTGCTAACCTGATGCCATCTTCAAGAAGGGAGGGGGGGGGGGGTTACTAAGAAAGGCTATTTCCGTGTAGGTGAGATTTGATCTTAGGTCTTCTTGAGGTGATTTAAATATTTTTGTTTCCCATTGAGTTTTTAGGTGGTTTGGTGTGTATTAGCTGCGATTGTGTTGTGACTTCTAAATACTGTTCTGATATTATGCTGTTTATATGTCCCCTGTATTATTCCAGAGAGAGGTATATGACATAGAGGAATAAGGTTGTGTATGTCCTATTTGTTATTGGGATTTATTTTCTTACTTGTGAAGTATTCTAGGTATCCTGTGTCGGGGGCCGCTGTAGTGATGTTGTGACGGTTAATAGTCTGTACGATCTCACCCAAGTCTAATTATTAATTAGTAGCTTTTTTATTATAATGATTGTGTATTTTTTCATACACGCTGTTAACTACGACAACAACTGATACCCGATCGACACAACCTTATCGTAAGTACTTGTGATGATGTGTTTTTCACCATTCTTCTTAGCATCTTCGGTTTTACAAATATTCTTCAATCTAGAAACCAGGCAGTCTATGAAACTAGGCAATCTCTTAACGTGATTTGATTTATACAGTCGTGGCATTTACCCATATCTATGGATTTCATGTAAACTCATTTGGTATATAAGGTGTGTTAGTAACCTTCACGTCTAAGAGTTGGAGTTCGTAATATTTTACTTCTATTGCGAATTGTATCGTGAGATGTTATCCGTTCAGATGGCTCATGAATCTTTGAGTTTTATATGTAATGTGTGACAATATTACGAATATATCGTCAACATATCTGAGCCTAGGACTTTAAGTGGCTGTTGTGAGGGCGTTATGTTTAAAATGTTCCATGGTAAGGTTGCTAAGTATGTGTGAGACGGGTGAGCCATTTGCTAGGCCTTCGTGTTGATGTTCGTATTTGGCTTCAAGTTGGAAATAATCTGTGTTGATAGAAAAGGTTATAAGTTCTATTGCCTTGGAGAATGACAATTCGGTGCGTTCCTTGAGAGTTCTATCATTTTCAATCTGTTGGCGGAGTGTGTGAGGGTATGATAAGTTATTGTATAGGCTGGATACGTCAAAGCTGATCATTGTGCCTTGTGAAGTTATCGTGGTTAATTTTATGATCTTTACAAAGTCTAGTGGGTTCTGAGGATATTATATATTTTACTTCTTAATGATGATATTATATCTACAAGATATCTAATAAAGGTAGCTTGGTTTAACAATGGGACGGAGAGGCTAATCCTGCTTGTGAATTTTAGGTAAATCATAGATATATGAAATGTTGTTGTTGTGTACTGTTAGTTGTATGGTCATCTGTGTACCAAGTTCCATCCAATATTTATTGAGGAGTTGGTTGATTTTTTCCCCCTGTGTTAACGGTTGAGCTAGTCTTAATCTTCTTGTGGCAGCTACCTTTAACTAGAGTCTGGTGTATTCCTTACTATTACTGATTACAACGGCATTGCCTTTACTTACTTATATAATTTCTATGGTGTTATTTTTCTTTAATACTTCGAAGGAAGTTTTTTTTTTTTCTAAACTACTAACCTTAGTTTGATTTTGAAGTCATGTTTTCCTTCTTCTGAAAGGTTGAAAATTGTGTCTTCTGTGGTCGTAACTGTATTTAGAGAGGATCTTTTGTTATGTATTATGTCAAAGTTTCATCCTTAACCTAGTTCATATCCAGCGTTGGATTATCGGTAAGATTAGATACGCTAAAATCCGTAGTTCGATTCCCGCGCGGTGGACACAGCAGATAGCCTAATGTGACTTTGTGTTAAAACAAACAAATAAACTTAGTCCATTTTCTCTGGGCTCTGCAAGTGGTCGTTTAATTAAGTTTATAGCTCAAAGTATAGCTTTGTGCTTAATAACAAACAAACAAACTTAAGTTTATCATTTTGCGCTTAGATGTTTCTGCAGTTTTAGGATAATTATTATTTTGAGAACTGATGAATGAATTTAGTTTCTTTATGTGAATTTACTTAGTACATGGTTGTGTGTATGTGTGTATCTATGAAGTTTGAATAGCCGTGCAGGTATATAATGGAGAAACAAGACTATTTAATACTGATCTAGCTGCAAAAGTCCATCATGCGAGAGCGAGAAGATGACCATACGATAAATCGGGATAATACTAAATAATGAGGTATGAACCACACACGAGAAGAAGAAAGATAAAAGAAGTTTCGTACTTCCACCTACCTGATAATACACTAGTTTAGAAAGTAGCAAAACTGGACACCCTTTGAAAGCATTCAAATAAAGAGTTGATTCCAGTCAGACAAGTGGATACACTCCAGCCAGCCCTCCACCAGGATCATACCCCGGCTTCTTCCACTCTAGAAATAGTCCTTCTCAAGACTTTCATAAAGGCTGTGGCAACAAACTCTAGCTAGTAAGTAGTATCTAGTGTATAATTAATACACAAAATAGACGTATAGGTTACTAAACATGATAACGGTTGATATCAGATCGCCACAACCTCCATTTGGAACTAACCAGTCTATGATGCGCGGCAGTCTGTTGGGGTGGGTAATCGTATAAGTTACTAAACATGATAATGGTTGATATCAGATCGCCACAACCTCCATTTTGAAACTAGGCAGTCTATGAAGCGAGGCAGTCTGTTGGGGTGGGTAATCGTATAGGTTACTAAACATGATAACGGTTGATATCAGATCGCCATAACCTCCACTTGGAAACTAGGCAGTCTATGAAGCGAGGCAGTCTGTTGGGGTGGGTAATCGTATAGGTTACTAAACATGATAACGGTTGATATCAGATCGCCACAACCTCCACTTGGCAACTAGGCAGTCTATGAAGCGAGGCAGTCTGTTGGGGTGGATAATCGTATACGTTACTAAACATGATAATGGTTGATATCAGATCGCTACAACTTTATATAACTACATAATACTGTCTCATTAACAGTTATTTAGTTCATTTCTGCAAGGTCGTTACGTTTACAGTTAAAACTAGAATGCATTCACTGTTGCGCAATGTTTTCGACTTTTGCAATAACAAACCAAACAAATCCTTACCCACATAAATGTAA